CAGTGCTGTGCCGTCTGTACGCTGGTTGGGGGGGGGTGCAAGACCATCAAGCAGCGGAGGAAGGGGGGGGGAGGGTCTGGAAGTGGGGGTGGGGGCTCCAAGATCTATTCCATTGACTCCGACCAAGGCAGTCTCCAGTCGGCCCCCAACTACCAACGGGACAGCCAGGGGGGGGGCAGTGATGACCACAGTTACCCCCCAGACCTGTTTCCACCCGAGAGCACATACACCCTGTCTCCAACCCAGCCCCACCCCCACCAGACGGACGCCCCCATCCTGCAGCTCAGCGCCACCTTGCTGCACCACAGCCACAGTGCAGAGGCCGACCTGCACTCCCTGAAGGACAAGAAGTACAGCACCTACACCCACAGCAGGTAACACCCCCCACCTACACCCCCCTCACCTACACCCCCCCTCACCTACACCCCCCCTCACCTACACCCACAGCAGATATTCCCTGATTTAAATTCACGTTTTTTGTTTTTTTTTTACATTTCTGTTTTTTTACGATCTAACACTAGATGGCAGCGTGGGACGATCATTTGGCGTCAGATATTACAAAGTCTTCTTCTTCTCTGTCTTAGTTCCAAGGACAAGTCTGGAAGTTCGTTTGATGGCCCAGGGTCAGCTCAGGGGTCACAGGGCTTCAGGCCGGGTCACTGCCGCTCCTGTCTGACCAAGCTGACCGGTCACTCCGGCCTCTACACCGTCCGAGCGCCGCAGACCCGCTGTGACGCCTGTGCCCACATCGGAAACCTGTACGACATCAGCGAAGACCACCTCCATTCACACTACGCCCACCCTCACCCTCACGGCGCGGACATGTTCACACACTATCACCCCCAGAGCGAGCTGGGCCTGGTGGGGGAGGGGGACGGGCTGGTCAACCCCTTTGAACCCTCTCCTCCCCCTCCATCAGCCATGCCCACCTCCTCCTCCGCCCCCCACCTCCAGCTCAGTCGTCAGCCCTCCTACGAGAACATGCTTCCAGACGGCACTCCGGAGCGACAGGCGGCGCCGCACGCCCACCTGCGGGGGCTGAGCCTCCCCGACAGAGATAGAGAGAGGGAAATGACCCTGGACGAGGGGGCCTACGCCAACGTCCTCACGATGCGCTCCGACCGTCCTTTCAGCAGCCGCAGCCCCCCGTCTCCGTCGCCCTCCCACCACCACAGTCTGGACACGCCCGTACCTCTGCCCCGGCGCTCCAAGAGCCTGTTTCCCGATAGGCCCGCCCAGAATCCTTTCCTCCAATCAGCTCCTGGCACGACGCACCGAGACCCCTCCCCCCAGGCTGTGACTCGGCTGCCGCAGAGGAGTTCCGCCCACGAGCTCTACCAGCAGCGGATGCCGACGGCCCTCACTCTGGGTAACCACGGCGGCCATCACGCCAACCAGCACGGCGGCCATGTTGAACAGCAGGTGTTCTACCCTCAGCAGGAGCCCCCCCTGGTGGCGTACATGGTTCCACCTGCTGCTTCTCAGCCCATGAGCTACGTGACGGCGCCACGAGTCTCCAGCGCGGGCGGGAACCGTCCCCGCCTGTACCGCCGCATGCCCAGCATCGAGTCTGACGTCTGAGAGTCACGCTCTGTAACACACACACACACACATGTAAGCATGAGGTGTGTGTGCTCAGGCCCGGCAGCTCTGACACACACACACGCTAACGAAGGCCGGGTCTGAAGGTCACCGGGGATTCTGGGTAAATTAATCATCGCGTCCTGATTAAACAAAGACCTCCAGAGGAACTGGGACCTGAAGAGTGTGTGTGTGTGTGTGTGTGTGTGTGTGTGTGTCGTAGCCTCAGGCTGTGGGCAGTGGGTCACTGTCTGACGTGACTGATGGAGCCCCCTGGTGGCGTTACAGTGACACTGTTCTCCGAGTGCCA